CAAGGACCTCACAGTGACTAGGGGATCCATGCTAGTGTTGGTTTTGCACATAAGCACAGAAACAGACATACACACCCAGGCTTCTTGTATTCTGGTATTGTTTTAACTGAAACAACTCTTCAAGAAAGAATGTGGATTTGTTTTTATCACCAAGCTTCATGTATTTCTTGATGTAGGCAGTATGTGGAAAGTGGGTAGACTATTCCAAACTCATCAGCCAAAAGGGTTGGCAGCACTCACGGTTCATTCTGAACTCATTCTTGAGTTGCAGAGAGAAAGAGGGTGGGTGGTACATTGGAGTCACTGTCTTGGTCACACCAAGTGGGTGCCCAGAGCCATCCCTCCCTTGGGCCTAAAAGATACTACCCTCCCCCCAGGAGAGCTCCTTAAGGCCTGAGAGCACTGCCAAGCCTCATCCAATGAGGTGGAAAGCCAGCCTTCCCAACAGCAGAAATTACACATCTTCCCAATGTGGAGATGTTTTTACCATTGCTCCTAAAAACCCATAAGGTGTCAGATCCCAGCAGAATTTAGAAGCTAATCAGGTTAGCTAGCTAGTACTTGGATGGGTAACTGCCAAAGAGAATAGAATCATATAGAATCATAGAGCTGGAAGAGACCACAAGGGCTAACCACTGCCATGCAGGAATACACAATCAAAGTACCCCTGACAGATGGCCATCCAGCCTCCTCTAAAGAAACGTTTTCTGAGGCAGCTTATTTCACTGTCAAACAGCTCTTACTGTCAAGAAGTTCTTCCTAAGGTTTAGGTGGCATCTCTTTTCCTGTAGTTTGAATTCTTTGTTCCATCTTGGAAGCTAGGCTCTTGTTAGTACTTGAATGGGAGACCACCAATGAATACCAGATGCTATAGGCTACATATCAGAGGAAGGAACTGGCAGAACCACTTCTGAGTATTCCTTGCCTAAGAAAACCCTATGAAGTTCATGGGGTCACCATAAGTCAACAGGCAACTTGAAGGCACATATACCTACACACATTTTGAATCCTCAGCCAGAGAGCTCCTCTAGTTCCTTGTCAATCTACAAGCCCCTGGTTTCCATTGGATGCAGCCATGGTAGCACTATGACTGTGTAGTGTGAAAGGGTCCCTGATGACTATTATGATTGGAACAATCACCTTCTCCTTCTTCACAATGTGGTTGCAAGGGTAAAATGTGAGGTGGATCAAAGAAGGAAACCATGTTGCATTGAGTACCTTGGGGACAAGATGGGGTATGAAGGTAATCAAGAAATTTAAAACATACTTTGTCCACATGTGAGGTTCATGTGAATTCATCAACAGAAGCACTTTCCATTAAGAAATTTTGCAAGATTCAACACAGCCCTATGATCCCATTACGTAGGGTAAAAATGATGAGGGGGGAGGAAAGGAACCAGATATTGTGCAGCCTTTCTCTCTCTGTCTTTCTCTCTCTCTTTGCTTTTATTTAACAAATCAAGAACACAAATATCTGAAAAAGACTGATGAAAGGTTTGATGGCATTTCCCCACTCCTCTTTCTTTCTTTCTTTCTTTCTTTCTTTCTTTCTTTCTTTCTTTCTTTCTCTCCACTCTCCTCACCCCGCCTTCACTTCACCCTTTCCTTTGCCACTTCTGGGTGTTTTGTTTTGTTTTTAAACTTCAAGAGCTTTCCAGTGATTTTAAATTCAGACATAAAGCTTCAGCCCTCCCAAAGCAAGTTCCTTGCCTATTTCAGCAATTAATTAACTATGAATGCTCTCCTTTGGAGACTGGGTGAAGGGGAGGATAAAAGATGAAGAAGGCTGAGGAGAGACATAACAAGAATGGGGAGGGGGCTGAGTGGGTGGCTTATCAAATTCCACAAATACCAGACACTGAGAGGTGTTGATTTGTTGCTGGGAAAGCCCTGTTTGTTTGCAGAGCTTAATCACCTGGTGTCTATTTGTTGTTTGAAGAATATGGTGACAACGGGAGCATTTGCAGGCAGCTGTACTGGGACAGGGAACAGAGGGAAATGTTAAATCAATGACACATGGAAATCCAAATTTTGTTCTCAACTCACCCCCCTGGGTTGCCTGAAAAGGACACTCTGAGAGCATATGTGTGAGGTCGGCCTTAGAAGAGTTCTCATTTTTGACACCACCAGCCAGACCAGTATGGCTATATCTGATAAAATCAGCAGGTTTGACTGAATTTTGGTGTGGTCATTCATGACACTGAGCACTTTGACAATGCTTATTTGGGACCTTTTATGCAATTCAAGTCCATCCCATCATTGCTGAATTTCATTGTCTACTGATCTGGCCTTCCCCTTCCTTCCCTGCAAATAAACTGCTCTTAATTTCAGTTTAATTTCTAAATGTTTCTTCCCCACTCTAGCCCTTTCCCCGCATCTCAAAGGCCATATATTTATTACCAGTAAAGATCATTGCCTAAAAATATCCCTGTTTACAGTAGCACACATATATTTAAAGCATGAGCTATCTCACTTCCTGGAGCATTCACATTTTCAGATGGGATTTCAAAAAGAAAAAAGGAAATGGAAATATAGTTAAAAACCTGAATGTCTATACCTGGTTGACAACTTGTAGTCCTTCAGATGTTGTTGGATGAGGACTCTCATTAGCCATAGCCATTGGTGGAACTGAAAGGTTACATCTGAAGGACTCTTTCTCTATGCAGGTTTTTAAAAATTGAGTTTATCTATTGATTGGATTTATCCCCTGTCTTTCATCCAGTGAATGGCATTCATATTGTTAGCACTAGAAATGAACATGCTGAATAACAACTGGTATATAGGATTTCCCACTTATAGTGAACATTTTGCTTAAATAAGAAACAATGCCCCACTGTTATGTTTCCAATCGTAATAACTATTACTACTACTATTACTAATTACCAGATTAAAACATATATCATTAAACATGTACATACATACATGTACATACATGCCAGCACAACAGTTAGCAAGAGCCAGAACATTGCTTAGGTGAGACGGGCCTTATTAATGCAGTTTGACTATCATGCCCCCCATCCTACAGAATCCAGGGATTTGTAGTTTGTAGTGGCACCAGAAGGCTCTGACAAGGAATGTTAAATATATCACAAATCTAAATCCCATAATTCCACAGCATTAAGCCATAGTAGTAGTGTCAAACTGCATCATTTCTGCCATGTAGATGCAGCCATAGTCACTTGTCAAATGGCTGTTGAAATAGAAAAGTCTTTACTTTGTCTATACGCAAAAAATAACTAGGGAGATTCACCTACAAACAGCCTTATGGAAGGCACTATGACCAAGAGATAGTGCACATGCTTTGCATATGGAAGGTTCCAGATTGAGTCCCTAGCTTGACCAAAGTTCTGGCAAGGTATGGGATATGGTTTTGTTCTTTTTAAATGAGGTCTTGAGGCTTTTGAGGGGGCCAAAATTAATCTCCAGGGATTTCAGTTGGGAGTTCAGACTTTCATGACAATTCTATTTCATATTCTACTTCCTTAGAGTTGCACTAGAAACGTAATAACTTTAAAAGATTTTATTTTACTTCTACCATAGGCATAGGTGATATTGAAGCATTGCAAGTGGATGTTTTTCTTTCTTTACAGATTCACTCCAGAGGCTCTGAACTGGATCAGAACAGTGGTTTGCAAACCAGTTTATGCAGAAACTGGACAGAAATGTTATTCAGAGACTTGCATACTATTTGGACCCTAAAATAAATAAATACTCTGCTTATGCTACATTTTTCAGTTTCTGCAACATACACTGTAGCAAATTTCTCTTTCAGATTCAATGATTAAGCAAAGCATACATGGAGGGTCACTCTGCAGTAGTGGCAGTGGTAGAGAAGATAGAGATGGTTATAGAGAGATACAGAAGCTCTAGGGTGGGAATGGCCATTACAAACACCCATTGATTCAGATTTCAGGGCAGGAGGCACAGAGTTCAGATCATCTCTGACTGACTGCACTGACACTACAGATAACCTCGGAGCACATCCATCTCCAGCTGCCAGCTCAAGACAAATTACCTTCTCTCCAGGAGACTCTTTCACTGATTACCTACTACCCAAATTAAAAGCCATCTGACTTCTCAGAAGGCTTTTGTTTGTTAGATTCCACAGGATTGGGCAAAAATAAATGGGGATAGGATGTGAAAAAGATCTGGTGGGTTTGAAGTTTTTTTTGCAAATGCAAGGGACTGATCTCCTCCACCCAATTTTGTTAAAACTGGCCAGCACTTGGGCTAATCTAATTGTTTCCTCACAGTTCCCAAACTGTATTCAGTTAATGCAAAGAAGGTTGTAGGGGAAGCAGATAAAATCCAGAGTTCTGAATAACACCTTAGGGCAAGACAGTTGTAGGAGTTAGCAAAAGAGATTATTTACATGGAATCTGGACAGAATAGTCATCCAGACCTTGTTTCTTTTCAACTTTCCCTCCTGAAATACTTAACATGTTGCTAAAACAGGCCTTACTTTTATGTTTATATGATTAAATATAAATTCATGTATTTGGAGCCATTGCTGATAAACATTTAATTTCATATATAGTTTCTTTTTCTCTTTAAAAAGATGTATGCATGCATTTAAGATTTAGTCATGATCAAACAAAGGCAAACTATGAATGATTTTAGATGATGAACATACATTTAACTAGAGCCTTTACAGACTGCCAGAAATAATGCAACTTGAGTCCACTTCAACTGCCCTGGCTCAGTGCTAGGGAATCATGGGAACTGTAGTTTATTGTTGCACCAGAGCTCTCTGACAGAGAAGGCTCAATGTCTCAGAAAAAAATACAATTCCCATGATTCCCTAGCACCAAGTTGCATTATTTCTGGTAGTCTGTAAAGGCATCTTGTTGTTTGCCTTCAAGTTGTTTCTGACTTCTGCAATGCTAAGGTGAACCTATCATGGGGGTTTCTTGGCAAGATTTGTTTAGAGAAGGGTTGCCATGGCTTTCCCCTGAGGCTGAGAGCATATGACTTGCCCATGGTTACCCAGTTGGTTTCATGGCCAAGGTGGGAATCAAATCCTGGTTTCCGGAGTTATAGTTCAGCACTCAAACCACTACGCTACACTGGCTCTCTTATATCACTGAATAGGTGTTCTGCTTTAATACAGAGTGAACACATGAGGTATCATCCTGAATACAACAGAATGTGACTGATTTTGGAAGCTAAACAGGGTCAGGTCTTTGGATGGTACAGTTATCTCCGGATAGTGCCTGGAAAGAATCCTGCCTAAAACACCAGAGACCTGCTGCCATTCAGTGTTGGCAAGCTGGCAGAGCTGGGCTAAATGGATCTTTGGTCTGATACAGTATAAGAAAAGCATCCATCCATCATTTTATTCATATATCACTTTTTTCCCAGGTTGGGACTCAAGGCATCTTACAAAAAGGCAGATAATAGAACTGTTGTTGTGTGCCTTCAAGTCATTTCTGAATTATGGTGACCCTAAAATGAACCTATCATGGGGTTTTCTTGGCAAGATTTGTTCAGAGCGGATTTAACTTTGCCTTGCTCTGAGACTGAGAGAGTGTGACCTACCTGAGGTCACCTAGTGGCTTCCATGGCCAAGTAGGGATTTGGAATCCTGATCTCCAGACTTATAGCCTCATAGCCTCAAACCACCACACCACACTGGTTCCCAAATATTTCACTGCTTCTCTGTTGTATTTTGTATTTAATTTATCATCAGTTCATTCACTGATTCATTCTGTGCCACCACTCCTAGAATAGGTTCACATATGCAGAAAGAGGGTCCTATTTTTAAAAATGGTCCAGGACTTCAATTCTCTTCCATGCAACACACTTGAACATATTTGGCTCATCCCCCTTGCCACTGTAAGTGTGTTAGCGCATATCATTCTGTATTGTCACAACTGCAAATGCCAGGATCAGGACCCTGACTTCAATAAGACTGTCTCAATTTAAATTCAAGAAATCTGATTCAACTCATTTGTAGATCACTCTATAATAAGATCTGCTGCAGGAATTTTTCCACTTACATGAAGCAAACTTCTTTTTAGATTCCAGTTTCAGCATGAAGATGGGATTTCATCCATTTTTGGAATGCTACTTTTGCAAATGTGGATGCATTTGTATGGAGCCCATGTACTGAGAGCCAACATGATGTAGGACCTTATCCCACGGGGCCAAAAGCAGCAAGAATCCACATGGAATCAGGCGCTATAGCGCTATAGTTTTCCGGGTGATCCCACGACGTCGCTCAGAATCGGCTAAGAATCAGGCGCTATAGCGCTATAGTTTTCCGGGTGATCCCACGACGTCGCTCAGAATCCGCTAAGAATCAGGCGCTATAGTGCTATAGTTTTCCGGGTGATCCCACGACGTCGCTCAGAATCCAACAAGAAACCGCTCGGAATGCAGCATCATTCGGGTTCTTTTGAATGCCCGGTGTCAGCGGGCATTGCAATAGCGCTACCTTATCCATAGCGCTATTATAGCGCTAGCGCCATATTATACTAGCACTATAGTACTGCGATGATGCTCATATCGGTTTCTTGCCACTTTTGAGAGCAGCGTGGGATAAGGTCCGTAGTGGTTTGAACATTTGAATAATACTTTGCAGGACTAGGGTTTGAATCTCCTCTTAGCCATGGAAGCCAGCTGGGTGACCTTGAGCAAGCCAAAAACAAAACAAAACCCCAGCCTTAAAGGAAGGCAATGGTAAACCTCTGCTGAGTTGCTGTTGTATGCCTTCAAGCTGTTTACAAATTATGGTGACTCTACAGCAAATCTACCATGGGTTTTCTCCATTGTTCAGAATGGGTTTGTTTTGCCTCCCTCTGAGGCTGAGAGAGTGTGACTTGCCCAAGGTCAATCTGTCAAAAAACAAATCCTATGAGAGGGTTAACATGAATTGGAGTTGACTGGAAGGGACATAATAACAAAAAGAAGAATTTTGTAAGCCTCCAAAAAGTTAGTGCTATTCTTCAACTAAGGCGAAAGGCCTGGGCAGATTGTTGATATAGGAAGAGTGAAACCAAAATAGGTTGCTTGATATTGCCTTTGCAAGTAAACTGTGCTTTTGTTTGGATTAAATGCTATGAGACCATCAGAGCCTCAGATATTGACTTTAAAACAGACACCAGTCTTCAATTGCTACCTAAGTGGAAATTTGATTGGGGGAATGCATCAGAGAGGGACAAAAACCTTGTTACTTCATACTATAGCATTAAAGAAAGGAAGTATTTGACATTCCAAAGCAGGCAGTAATGTACCTGATTAATCTCTCAGGATTTGACTCCATAACAAAACTTCCATTCTGCTATTGTTCAGATCTCTAGAATGGGTTGGTAGAAGATGGAAGAAAAGGCATTTGGGCTTGACTAAAGGGTGCTACAGTGCAGAGAACCTGATAAGGGTTATAATACAGGAGTGGTGAAATATGGCTCAGAGAGTTCTACTTATCATGATGACCCTTCATTTAATGCGGAAATGACCTTTGCTCAGATTGGGATGCTCTGGATGTGTGGGATACAATGGTCACCTTGTTATTAAAGATTAAGAGCAAATGAACTATCATTCAGGCATGAAACAAGCTCCTGGTCGTCCTTAACTGTGGTGACAAATTCCAGAAGAGCAGCAGTCTGAAGCAGAAGCAAGAAGACAAAAGGTGCTGTGGCACCTTAGAGGCTAAGTACTTTATTGTGCCATATCCTTTCATTGTGGCAACAGCTCTTTCAGCAGTAAATCAGTTGGATTCTAAGAGCCAATTTGCATTTTATTTTAAATGGCCAGTTTCAGAAGTGCAAATCACTTGTATTTTCTCAGTCTCCACAGTTAAAAGTGGCGATGC